TWMCCATACTAGTGGACTATTACAAATCCTTCGTTCTGATTGGCTAYGCTACTTGGGGTCTATTTTCAATAGKCCTCGACTAGCGAAAAGCGACAACTTTTTGCGTATTTYTAGTAATAAAAACATCTAGTTATTTATATATTTCATTCATATTTTGTCCAACTAGTATGGTAATACTAAAACAATTAGATCTCTCGGCCTCGTGGACTACGAGCTGATAGCCCATTCCAGCCATTCGGCCTTCGGCCTCATTGTAAATGATGGTATAATTGTTACAGTCAATCCCATAAACGTTGTTACGGTAACGTGATTGACTACATATGTTTTTTTCAGGATAACGTTGCTTACTTCAGTTTTCCTTTTGACTTTTCGTTGATATACAAAGAAAAGGAAGAATCGGGTAATTATCACCATTAGAATTTAATTGTGAAAGAAATTATATAAAAATGTCCAATTTGGCGCGAACTGTCTTTAATTGTGTTTTGAACAGACGATTTTATCCGATGGCCAGTGCTTTTTATCGAGGTTTTATCCTTGGATAGTTGGGAAAGACACCGTACGGAAGGGTATGGCATGATAACCATTCCTAACCAACCTGGTAAGAAATTATGAACACAAGGAAGCTTTGCTAAACTAGCAGGAAAAWCTCACTAGCTACATATTTTACTTCAGGAATTCATGAAATAACCGTCAATACTTGGCGACCTATTGGRAATGGAACTGTCCCAGAACTTAGACGATTTTTTATCGGTGGTTCCCCAGAACTTGAAGACCCRACATATCCTCAACAGCCCGTCGCAACAGAGGTGAGAATATTTATACTCAAGAAATGGGTAGCCTGTGCTTTTGGCGGGAAAAAATGCGCGCGTGGCGTTCTCTAAAATTTGAATTGCTCTCAAGAAAATAAGGGCATCGATATTATGAATACGCAGTTACTTGGACTATGCTAAGCTTATATCTATTTATTTGACTTGTTCAATTGATGTGTTCCCAGGAAAAAGTACTTAGTAAGTTTTACTTTCGAACTGTAACTTCTGGAAGTGTTACAATACGTCTCAACGTAATTCAGCAATGCCAGTAAGTTTTTATAAAATATCGTTAACTTGTCATGTCTTTTCTTTCCTTCTTCTTCTTTTTTATCCTTGTCCTTTCTTCCCTGCCTTTTTCTCCCACTTTCAGTTCCGCTTAGGGTAGAAATATCCTATGTTTTTTACAATATTCAACAAACAAACTTTTAATTTTTCCAACCTTAGAGAATTTATGGAATCTAAAAAAGCCAAAAAGAGAACGCGAACTATCCTCGATCGTTTAGGGTAAGTGTAGAAAAGAGTAAAATAAAAAGCGCTCAGAGAGTCTCTTTTCCACTAAGCTAGAAATTTGCGAATTCCATGAYATGATTTATTTTAATAAACGTATTTGTTTCTTTAGAGGTTTGAGCGCTTTGGATTCTCTAGGTCAAGTTATGGGTGAGTCGCTTGCATGCAACAATACTCCAGTTTTGGAATCTCTTTTACGCAGTCTTGGCTCAATTGTACACAAACAATTATTGTTTTCTGTACACACAAAGTTTTTTATTACAATAGAGCAAAMGCAGGAAAACCATGAAATAAAATCAAACTAAATACTAACAAATAGCGGCTATTTAGAGACAAATTTTCAGTATAAATGAACCAGAACGCAATAAAGATGAATGAAAAATGGTCCCATGTGGATTCATCTTCATTGTGTTCTGGTTCATTGATACTGACAAATTGTCTCTACTGAATAGCCGCTATTTGTTAGTATTTAGTTTGATTTTATTTCATGGTTTTCCTGCGTTTGTTCTAGGTCTTTGTCTAAGATAGAAAGTATATGACAAACGTTTGAGGCTATGACTGCGTGAATAACGTCTMGAAATTGAAGTTTTCGCTTATCGTCCAGTCATAAATACAGTCTCGTTCATGCATTCATTTTTTTCGTCCATTTTAATCATCCTATATTCATGAATTCATCCTTCCTTAAGAACATCGTTAAATCCCCGACGATATTGTGTTCATTGTCTTSATTCTGCGCCCCTCCCCGTCGGTTTTAGGGTGGGCCGGGATAATGCACTAGCTACTGTTATTCAYATTTACATCATTCATTCACTTCTCTCAGACGCGTTTCAGCGAGCCCGTCAGAGAATGGTCGCAGCAAGAGAGGGATTACCGATTGTCAAGTAGTTATTTGACCTGCAAGGTATCCGTGTTTTGTATCCGACAACGTAAATTACGCATGCTCTGTTGATTTCATATAACGGCAAGAGTCCTGTTCATTTGAGTCAATCTGGTTTTGCCGAATAGGTGGAGACGGGAAAATTTGAGTCGAACACGATAAGAAAAGTTGTGGGTTATCCCGGGATACTTGAGCCGGTATATTTAGTACTGTATGAAAATAGAGGCTCCTCCTTGAATTCCTAGCCATACTGACAGCTCACACTTGAAAAAGCCCTTGAAAATAGAAAAATCCTTAAAAGCCTCTCTGCTGAAATACTCCTTGAATCTAATGAAATTGACATGCTGCCTTTTAACATTTTGAAAAAACGCCGACAGAAATATTCACATAGAGCAAAGAAAATTTTCAAAAATAGGCCTTAAGATTTGTGCTTATAAAGTTCTTGGAAATTCCTGGAATTTGTAATTAAAATGCAGCACGAATCCTTGCAGCAGTTCATACAAGTCCAACTGGAGGACAAAACAATAGATTCTAGTTCCCATAAGAGGGCAAAAATCTTYTGTTTTGTCGTCCAGATGAAGGTGCTTTTTCGTCACATGCAAGGGGTTTTAACATTACTGAATGGGTCGCTGGTAAGAATGTTATTGTACAGAAATGTAAATATGATAAAAGATTTATATTTTGAGCGCATCAACATGATGCTTGTATTATAATGTTTTTAGTGGTATTAAATTAAACGAAATTRATATAATCAAAGCTACGCATCTTGCAGCTTTTCCTTGTTCTCCCTCCCAGAACTTGGTAACAGCCCTGGGGGGACTCCGGGGTAAAAATACCGGGGATGCTCGTCGGATCTCTTAGGGGTAAAAATTCGTAATTGGGAATCTTTTAGGGTGCCAATTTGGAGTTTCTTGAAATTTGCCTTTTCTGCATCTCTTAGCGTTAMTTAGCATACTCATGTTAAGGAAAATTATGAGAGTGCTCTTTGGAAACCGGAAACCAGTTTCTCCGGTGGGAGTGAGGATCTGAGAACGAAAATAATGACAGCATGGATCTTGTCTATCTAATAGCGAGTCCTTAACCTAAATGCCTTAAGTGTAAGGTTTCATGTCAGATCTGCAAAGAATAGCAAGATCAAGCCATTTTATTAAACCCATTTACAGCCGACCATTCGGATTTTAGTCGTCATCCGAGGGTAAGTTTCAATAATGAAAGATAACTGTTTTATAACCAAGGAAGAAAAATCTTATATTTTGCTGTAACACATACACATAAAAAAGCCAACATCAGATTAGATTATGCTGCGCCGCACGAACTCATACCACAAAAGAGTTGTGTACAGTACTTGGAAACGCTCATGTTTACTCACTAAACACTAAACACATTGGTAAAAAGCCTTAGCGGTGATCTATTAGTTTTATATCGGTTAGTGCGTTAACACTGTCAATGATTCAGTGGGAGGTTCASTGTAATATAATGCTGTAATTGTTTCGCCAAAGCTTTCGCTCTCCGTGCAAACGGTCTTTTTTTCTCGTTAGCCATTTTAAAACTCCAAGCATTAACCTTGCGGTCGTGGTCGTTAATTATTTGTTGTTATAGCGATGCTTGTAGMAATAGGGGCATAATGTAATCGCATGCCTTAGGCCGTAATACTGACAAGTCACGTTGAACCTTCGTGTAATCAAGAATATATGTCACCGAAAAGGGCATCTTTGAATTCATAAAAATGCAGTGACAATCGTTTGGAAAAAAAGCATTGTTTGTTGCGCGCTTCAAGTAGAGTGACTGCAATAAATCTTTGAAAAAGTTCACGCATTTTTACGCTTTCTCTGTTGTTGTTTTTTTTCTTCGAGCATTTCGTTGTTACCTTTAATTCAAGTCTAAGCGCTCTGCTCATACGGTTGAGATTTTGCAGCCGATAAAATTTTTCAATTAGTAACCATAGAAAATTGTCTTCTGTATCGTGTCTTTTGGCATGGTGGTTCATTTATATTTTTTATTTATTAAGTTATTTCAATGCATATTTCTTGATCATCTCTGACGTAAATTGATATGTATACTAGAAGATATTTTCTCTTTTTCAGACATGGATGACGTGAATGCAACAACAAACCTGCGTATTCCATTCCAGTTCAAAGAACCACTAGCGTCAATGGTGATTCGAAATACGTGTTTTGCGTTCTTGACAATCGCTTCAGTTATCGGCAATTCAATTGTCATCCGCTCAGTCATCATGAAACTACACAGAAGACCACTGACCTATTACCTTATTACAAACCTCGCCTTTGCCGAGTTGATTAACACCCTCCTGCTTCCCGTTATACAAGCGTATGACGAGCTCAACTCGTGGATTTTTGGCGCGTTTTTGTGCCACGTGATCAGCCCTTTGCAAGTCGCGACTGTTTTAGTAATCACGTGGACAATCGTWGTGATTTCATACTATCGTTACCGAACTCTGATTGGCCCTTCCATCCAAGCACAGAAAACATCCCATAAAGTTATTTTGCTGCTTTGCTTGTGGATATTTTCGTTYGGCTTCGCTATTCCGTCAGCGGTTTACTCTGTAGTTGTTCAATCCCCGTATCAGGATACAAAGTGTTGGTGTTTGGTTTTATTTGATGGGGACACCTTRACAAATTATCGTACCTTAAACAAGTTCAYGTTGGCGCGTTTTGTGATCAACTTCTGTATCCCTGTTATACTTATAGTAGGGTTCTACGGTGTGATGATAGCGGGGCTTAGGCGCATGGCACATGAAGTAGGACCTATACTACTTCGAGGTACACGGGAACACAAGACATCAGTCATCAGAGTTCCTGATGAAGTTACTGCAACCAGTGCCGATTCACAGGGACCAATGACTAAACTAAGCTCAGACAGTCAATGTAAATCGTCACGCATYGATCCAGTATTCGTACAAGACGAGGATATACTGAGAATGATGTATGTGATTGTTTTTGTCTTCATCGTCTGTTATTTACCTTATCAGATCATCTACATCTTGGAGCATTTTGGTGTAATAACAGCTGTTACTTGGAACTATCATCACATTACAAGGCGATATCTGTTCTTAGTGACCTGTCTACCGAGTGCATTACATCCCCTGTGCTATGGGACAATCAGCCGATGTTATGCTAAGCTTTTTTCTTGGATCTTTTTATGCAAATGTGCTAAGAGATCTCGTAGARTGTAGCTTGAATTATATTCTACTGTTTGAAGAGACCGCGTCGCAATACGGGACTTTGTAAGCAAACATTTGTGTAACCGTGTCAAAAGACCRCAGGGACTGCTGGGAATGGACATGGGTTCTAACTCAGTCATTCATGATTCGCCTTGAAGACTGTTTTTATTTTCTGGGTGATATCGATACACTACTGCAAATGGACCATGAATTACTGAACTGGATTAAAAACTAATGGTTGACTATCGACTCAGCTCAAAAGAATCGAGTAATTTCAAGGAAGTATCAAATTATCACTACAAGTGAAGTGCAAATCAGAAGCAACAACACACATCAGTTCCCTTATCAGTAGCCTGCGTATCGGCCCTAAGGGGATTGGGGAGGGCCGGCCGAGCGGGGAGTGGGGAGGAAAACGCAGGCTACTTATCAGTGGTGTGATTGTCAATAAATCAACTTTTTTCGATATTTGTGATTTTTGTAGATCTAATTTAGACGCCCAGAAGTACATAACCAAGAAATGTCCATCTCTAAATAATCCTGTCACTAGATGTGCGGAGAGAATCTTTTTTTCGACCAATCAAAACGCGCACATTTAATATGGCACCTGATTGGTTAAAAATCCTTGTTGGTCATACTTCCGAGCAAACAAAATTTAGTCGATCGAGACGACAAAAGTGAAGTGAAGAATTTTATACCATTTGCTGAACTACCTGTTCCAAATTTACTAAAAAATATATCTGTGAGTGCGTCAATTCTAAACCAATTTAAGTTTAGATGTTTATTTTGTATATGATATCGACCAAGGTCTATTCTAATTTGTCGTTAGATCAAATACATCAGTTAAATATGATTACAATCATGATAGAAATACATATGTAGTTTTCAACGTCAGTTCTGACAATCAGTTTTTTTAACCTACTTTGATTCCTTAGTTACCGCACTAAACCGTAAGCATTAAACTCTTGTTTTATCTAAAAACTGTTGTTTATCTAAACTGCTGTGACGCTGTATTTTACCCACTGCCAAAATACCAGCTTCGGAGGCTGCAACAACTACAATTTGCTATGGCTAGCTTTGTTACTGGTAGATATGTAAACAGCATAACTACAATCTTGGACTTGAACTGCTGGCTGCCGATACTTGAACTGAGAGATTACTCGTTGCTAAAATTAATCTTTAAAGCGCTTTATAATCCTTCCTGGCCTTCTTATCTTAACTTAGATATTGGAAAACGGCGACAAGATGCCTTAGATCTAATTGACTGAACAGTAGTTCACTTTATAACAGGTACTTTCCAGCATTCTGCAGCTACTCTTTTTAATTCCCTTCCTGTCAGTATAGGAAACTCGTGTTCCGTTTTTCGTCCTTTTTGTACTTTGGTTAAGAATCACGCGTTTTGGTGATTGCATGGGACGATGACATGGACACTAGGCATTAGCAGAGCATCTTTTTCATGGATTCAGGGAAGTCTTTTATGGTGCAAACTAGGCTTAAAATCGGGATGATGAATTATGAAATTGAAATTCTAAAGCTATCAAGACAACGAATACGTCGTTATCTAACTATCCTATCAAAATTATTATGTCCTTTTTAATACAYGCTTTTGAGTTATAAATGTTTGAGTTAGTAGTTTTCATTGCTGTAAATAGATAATAAATGAGTAGGAAAAGGCAATTTCTTTGGTTGTAAATGTACGGTTCGTTTTTATTTTTCCCACCACAAATGGCGATACTATAACCTCTTGGTAGCGATCTCTTTATACTCAAGGTACACAAGGCTTTTATCTGCTGAAATGATTGGTCCCTTTACAAAGAATAATCCCACGAAATATTTTTGCGTAAAACTTGCTCATTGTTCCATAGCAGAGTGGGTGAAGGGCGCTTGGAAGRCAGGTGATGAGGAAAATGTACTTTCTTGTTATGTGAAGAAACTCCCATTTCCCATGCGAAATCACTTCAAAATACTCCAGGAAGAAGTACACTTGGTATGGTATGTAGAACAGAACGAATACAGTCACAATCATGTARATCATCTTCAACAGATCYTGTTCCAGTTCCATWATTAAGCTGACTGGGTCTTGCTGAAACGTGCCGTCGTCTTTACTTTCGCTTCTTTTCATAATAACAATCGCAACTTGTGCTTCAGCGTAAACGGTACTTGAAGASCGCTCGTCGGGYTTTAAGTTAGACTGCGCCATGTTCTCTTCTACTTTGTTTCCACTGTTTTCAGCAGCTGAAATCTGCGCGGTTTCAGGTGCAGCAGAGAGATCAAGGGACATTGAGCCGTCTTTGGATCTAATAGTTGACAAGTGGTACCTGAGCTTAATTCCAATAGCWCCATATGCAAGGACCATTATCAGCATGGGGACAAGGAAGTTGATGATAAAACGTACCATCAGGTATCTCTTGTATACCGGCGAAGGGAAGGACGACAGGGTTTCTCCCGGGAATAGCACCACGCACCAGTAACTATGACGATCATAGGGGGATTTGACCAGTTTGGAATACAGGAATGATGGGAAGGTAATAATCACTGCGCATGTCCACATCATGGCGATGAAAAATGATGTATTCTTCAAGTATACCACATGGCTCTGTTGGACAAGAGTTCGGTACCGATGCACTGAGATGATAGCTAACGTCCAAGTGACAACCAAAACGGATGTAATCTGGCCTGGACTAACGAGCTGGCACATGAGTTCACCAAATGGCCAGGTATTCAGCTCGTCGTAAATCTGAATAAAAGGAAGTAGTATAGTCCCTACAAGCTCAGCCACTGCTAAACTCGACACCATGTGGTACGTCATGGGCTTGCGGTATGGAATAACCATTATTGATCTAATAACGACTGYGTTTCCCAGTAGAGAAGCCAAAGCAACGACAMCGTAGAACACAAGACGAAAGCATCGAAGGCYGTGAGATTCAAAGACCTGAGGTGGAACTGTTAGCGTGGAATTTGTYACATTAACCGGGCTGTTGTTGGCCATCTTTGCYGGCTTGTCAAGTCGTCAATGGCAGGTCTTCCTGCAGGAAACAAGGCAAAACAATTATCACTGAGTTTTWTAATCTTTTCTTCCAGCTCCCTCTCGTAACCACTCGTCTTATTCTTACAAAACAATTCCAAAGGAAAATTTTAAACATGCAAATAGCATGCACTTCTGGAAATAGTCAGTCCATTTCTCAAGTGTTTCATTCTTATAGTCCTGATAACTTCCTCATTTAGAAAAGTGAAGTCTGAGCACGTTTGCCTTATAATGATAAGACATATTCAATTGCAGACTATATGAGACATTGGTCGTGAACAGTTCCGGCAATTCCACTATTGAAATATTTTGAATCACCTTCGAGAATACARTTAATGACATCTTGCTTCTCTTGTGATGTAAAAACTTTTGAATCACATAAAAAGGTTTCTGTCAATAGTTGCCTGAGGAGATATCATATGCTATTATATACAACTATAGTGGTAGTAAATTTGAGGCTTGTACAGATCCGGCAATTTTGCTTTTTAAAGTTTTTCAAAGACTCGCCGCCGAACATACGATTAATGACCGTGAAGTTTTCGCCATCATATGTCGCAAAAACTATGTTTAATGCTATCAAACTTTTTAAGGGCGTATGCAGAAAGTGATATTCTTCATTCATTTATACCAATGCTGGTATTTTGAAGTATTCGTTCGAAATTTTTTAAAGTTCTTCCTCAGTACAGATGGTGTCTCCTTTCGAGCTGCTGTGCATTATTTTACAAACAGAYAGCAAGATGGAATTGATATTTCTTTTGATAATATTATAAGACAGAAATACGAGATACAAAAGCACTCAACTTTACGTACAAGATACTTATCAAGTCCATGTTTAGAAATATTGACGCCAAACTAAAGAGCAATGTTGCGCGACGGAGTTGAGGTTTTGCGTCTATATATATATACCGTATTTCTCCGAACAGCAACTGGATTTCCTCAGAAACTTTGAAATGTGACATTCTGAAAATGTTCAACAACGTTTCACGAGGGAAGTGGAGAAAAAACAAAATCAGGTTGGTTGTCGCTTTTTGTGGCGTTATTTTAGGAGACACATAGCATATTTAGCATCACACCGTCATAAAGTGCATACAGCAATCAAGTAGTCGACTGAAACAGCATGCAGATGTTGACAAGTGCCTTTAGTTTTTTTTGTTTCAACTAGTAAATTGAGGTAGTATAGACACTTGGCTGTGATGCGGAAAATGAGGTTAAATGGAGTCTACACTATGACCATTATCATTTAATTTCATGAATCATTTCTGATTGTAAAACAAATAGAATTTCACATCATCTACCAATGAATGTAAAGGATAGTGAAAGTAGTCGAAGATTGTTGTTTTTAAAATAAAGACTTGCACACACTGTACGTGCGTTGTTTGTGTCTAAAAACATATTTTTTCCTCATATTATACCACTATACGTACATATAGAAAAATAGCATTAATTCATGATGTATATTTAACGCACACATGACAGACACATATAGACAAACCGAAACCGTGAAATAGATATTATACTAATGTACCTTATATAGTAGAGCAAGTGTTTTCATTTGTGTCCATTTGCTTATCACACTTTACAGCGAAAATCGTTGCATCGCGACTTCTTCGTTTCGAAGTTTCTTTTGATTTTGTTCTTTCCTCCGATCTAAAGGGCGGAGCTTTTTGTAAACTCGTTCAGTCATTTGTTGATCTGCAGCAAGCTCCGCCCCAACGTCGCAGAAAAAAACTAAATTCTAACGATTTCTTTTGAACATTGAAGTCGCGATGCAACGGGTTCTGCTGTAATAGTCAAATTTTGTTTCACTAGTATCTAAAACAGAAATTTTATACCTTGAACACTCACCACTAACTTCCTGCTTGTCAAAGACAGCGGCCTATTTACTGCACAGTATCTGATATCTGTTCATTTTTTCAGTAAAACGTTTTGATTATTCTGTCTATATCTCGATTGATTACTCTTTTGAAGAAAAACTTTTTAATTACTTTGTCTATCTCGATTAATTACTTTGCTAAAGAAAGTGAAAGAGAGAGAAAGAAATGTTTTTGTCATCATCATAAATAGCCTTATTTTTTTAATAAAATTGTCTCGATGCCCCTCAAAACTCTGGAAATCGCTTTTTCAAGAGTCAAAATTTCCTGGGGGAGGAACTCCACATCCCCTTAATACTCCTGCCTTCGGCGCTAGCTGGTCTTCCCTCCGCCCCCCAATTCAATACATGTGTCGCGGTCTCTGACATGTTCTAGCAAAACAGTCCACGCTACGCGCCTGGTTTCCTATCAATTGGGACTGATTGGCAACTTAAGTGTTCAATTCTCTTACTTTAGAATTTTAAAAATAGGATTGCTAATGACTTTGTTGTTATGTCTTTACGACTTCAATGTCAACAAAAAAAGCGATAGAGTACAAACACTAAAAGTGTGCAAAATGTTTCATYGAGCTGTCGTCTTCACTTATGTTATAAGTATTACCTCTCGTATTATGCCCAATATTATAAGTTGTACGATTATAATTTTCTACGCTAGCTAACATTTGTAAGTAAGATTTTTCAGGGGCGCAGTTAGACTTAATATACAACCCCCCCCCCCCCCCCCCCCCCCCCGATCAACATCGTTCAAAATATTCTTCCCTGTTTTGAACTTGCGTGAATGAATCACACYTCCTCCATATGATTTATTTTGAAACTCCAACGCGTACGATAAAATTAAACGTTCATTATCCGTAGTGCTGCTTACTGGTATATCAAAAGAATTAACCAAACATTAAATAGCATTTCAAAAGGTTAATAAATAAATTAAATAAAACGAAATTGAAGAAAAAAAATATTATTGAAAACAACAACAACGACAACAAATAAACAACAACAAACATTCAATTAAAATTTAAAAAAAGACCAGTAAACTTGTTGGAGCAAGAAATGTCCTTAGAAAGAAAATCTTTTACATCTAGATATAAACAAATCCTAGTCGGTTAACAAAATTGAAGARTTGAGTTTGTTTCTTCTATTTATCTATCTACCAAGCTTATTTTGAGAAGATAGCAGCCAATCAGAACGAAGCACGATGGCTGGTTATTTTGCTCCCGGAAGCGCGGGAGCGTCACTATATCAACACGGCCAATCACGAGCCCAGAGTCTTCACGGCTAATGACAGCGGTATGCTGACGGATAGACTAGAGTCTTGCTGTTTTTAAAACTACGCTTTTCAGTTTTGTCCCGTTTTCAGCACAAATACAGCTCATGAAAACGGYTAAACTGCTAGTAATGTAGAAAAACTAATTACACTCGTTTTGCAACATTTTTTTTTGTGAAGTGTAATGTAACAACTGTAAATCCTGTGGGATTTAATTTCCCAGTCTGCACGATTATCTCGGCGCGTCAATACTTTGACGTACAGATAACATTTCAAAAAGCAKCTGGAAACTGTGATGTAATTCTCTTTGACAACAGCGGTTTTGTAATTATATAAATATAAATCAATAGTACAAGAGTTATAACCCTCTGGCTCACCCGAGAAAATTGGGATTGGGCGAGGCCTACATCGAGCTCGAAAAGTGATGGAGTCTTGACCATAAAAAGATTAGAAAACTAAGACACGTTTCGGCGGAAGAACCACTCTCATTGATCCTTTATCTTATCGGCAATTTTATGCCATTTTGTATACTTTGCCCATTCAGTTTATATGAAGAGTCGAGAATGACATCAAAGGACGAACTTCGAGAACAACTTCAAGAGTTTATACGTCACGAGCATTAAACTTTAATTGATATAGTACATGGCGATGACTGATTTTTGACAATTTTCAAGCGCTTTTTGAACTATCAAAAATGCATAGATTTTAAATTAAATAATTAGTAAAACACATTGAAACTTCCTGCACGCAAACTGTAGAATATGAATTGAAATATTAAATATGTAGAGCTGTCGTTTTGTAAATATTTTCGCATGTTTTATTAAAAAATGGACAAACATTTCGCTGTTGGCTCCCTCGGTATGTTTGGCAACAGCATTAATATATAATTTAAAAGCAACAAAATCTGGATATAAAGAAGACCTCTCGGCTCACAGACAAATCATTTTGTGTCGACGAGGAAATTCCCTTTTCTTCAATCTTTTTTTGATTCTAGGACATTTATGGTGCTAGGTAGCTTCATTATAATAGTCGGTGCTATGTTTCTCTAGCAAAACTTTAGTAAATTCAAAGAACTAAAAACACTAAGCTTTCGGACGGTCGTCCATCATCAGAGTATTGATTGATTATTTAAGGATTATATAAATCGAACGCAAGAGAAAATGAGGTAAGAGAAGGAATCCCTGGTACTGCGTTCTTAACCCATCATATCAGCCCTTCGTTCTATTTTTAGAAAAAGAGCTATTTTTAGAAATGGAACATGATTGGTCAGATCGTATGAGGCGAGGTCACTCAGCCGTTTGTGGTAAGACGCGAGAAAATAATTCAAAATGGAGGTCGAGAGAGAGATTACTTTTGTGAACGAAAACGATTTGATATTAAGCGGTATATGCAGAGGAAGAAGGAGAAAGCAGTGGTTTTGGTTTATAAATGGTGAAAGTGATGTGCTTTCGTCGAGTGATGTGTCTTCGAGTGAAGTCGTAGAAGAAGAAGAAGAAGAAGAAGACGACGACGATCTAATTTCATGTCACATTACCTTCAGAAGCTGATTCTTCTTCGACACTTTCAAGTTTTCTTTGTTTTGAAGAAGATTCCTTTTCTTCTTCAAGAAGTTTCCTTTTTAAAAGCGAATTTCGTAGCTTTTCTCGAACAGNTTTCAAAGTCCGTTAGAGGTGATACTGTTACTGCGCATGTCATCCATTGACAGTGTCCCTTTAAGTATAGGATTTTCAAAGCTAAGGTTGTGGGTTCGAATCTACTTGGTGTCATTTGAATTTTTCTTTCTTTCTTTCAAGTTTCAGACGGAAAATTTCTAAGTTGAACGTAGTAGTTAATTAGGTATTCAAGTGAGGGCAATATACATTAGTATTCAAGGGCAATATATAGATATTGCCCTGAAACTTCGATATAAAGCACTTGAATACACAATGAGCTGTGGAATAAGCGAGATGCAACACTATGAATAACAAAGAAAACTGAATCAAGTATGAAATAAGCCATTTTGTATACTTTGCCCATTCAGTTTATATGAAGAGTCGAGCCATGACATCAAAGGACGAACTTCGAGAACAACTTCAAGAGTTTATACGTCACGAGCATTAAACTTTAATTGATATAGTACATGGCGATGACTGATTTTTGAGAATTTTCAAGCGCTTTTTGAACTATCAAAAATGCATAGATTTTAAATTAAATAATTAGTGAAACACTTTGAAACTTCCTGCACGCAAACTGTAGAATATGAATTGAAATATTAAATATGTAGAGCTGTCGTTTTGTAAATATTTTCGCATGTTTTATTAAAATGGACAAACATTTCGCTGTTGGCTCCCTCGGTATGTTTGGCAACAGCATTCTTCGTGCGCGGTGAGTATGGACCCCAGCGAGACCGTACAGGAAGAGCTGGTGATGCATCATGGGTATAATTTAAAAGCAACAAAATCTGGATATAAAGAAGACCTCTCGGCTCACAGACAAATCATTTTGTGTCGACGAGGAAATTCCCTTTTCTTCAATCTTTTTTTGATTATTTAAGGATCGATTATATAAATCGAACGATGATCGATCGCGCCAATAAAAGCAGTTATCACGGAATTGCATAATTTCTCCTGCTTCTGTCTTAAAGAAACGTTAAGACTTTCATCATGATATGCACAAATAAATCAATCAATTTACCTACAATGGCTTTGAGAAGTTTAACACTATCATGATCAAAACGGCATAGAAAAAYGTCGATCCACCTGTATGCTCGCTTGATTGACTCTCTGTAGTGTAGTGTTCAATATTTAACTCCTGAGGTCCGGAAGTGGATTGGTTATAAAGAACTTGTATTCGTATCGAATCAAGACTAAAAGAATTTCTTGATCCACYTCCATTGATTTACAATGTACTATAGTCTTCAATATTCAACCCCAAAGTCCGGAAAAGGCATCTACGAATTTTTATTAGCGAGAATCGCTGTGTCTATATGGCCAGTTACCGGTCAAGGTCTTGAAAATGCTAAATGGCCGGAACCTATTAAATTGTTTTTTTGCGAGCTTCCAAACTCAAAAAAAAAACTCTATGAGTAAAATGAGCGTGTTAAAACTTACATAAACGTCGGCGCCGAAATTCGTTGCACTTACAGACATTGTGCGAATTTGAACCGACTGCCGGCCACGCAACAACGAAATCCTAAATGGCCGGCAGCCCATAAAATAACAGATTTCTCTTTTATTTTTCTTATTTAAAGAGTTAAAACAACATTATCAACATTTCTGAAACTTTCATCGTGTAGAGACATTTCTCTATTCGAGAAAAATCTCAAAACACGGCGGACTGCCGGTCACACAGCAACGAAATCCTAACGTTTAAGTAAGTTTTAACACRCTCATTTTACTCGTAGAGTTTTTTAAAATATTTTGGAGCATTTCTCTTGTTTGGAGTTTGGAAGCTCGTTTAGATAATAAGAAAGGGAAAAAAAAACATTTTATCAGCTGCCGGCCATTTAGCATTTTCAAGACCTTTGACCGGTAACCGGCCATATAGACACAGCTTATTTCCTTTATTATTTTGAGTCATAATGAATTATCCATGATAAAATTTAATTAATTTATTAATTTATTTAACTCAGTATCGATGACAAATGAGGCCGAGAGGCGTGTATAGAATTCGTAAATGGCGCAGTGTATCTCTAGAAGAATCATGGAAAAGCGAGAATATGATCTTGAAGTGATTATGTTCTCCATATTGAGCCAACAGTCATTAATTTAACTTCGAAAGGAGGACACGTCTAAATACGTCCCTAAGCCCCTAGGCCACGCGGAATATGCTCGAAAATCATACATAAGAGCATACGGAAGACAGGTCGACTGGAAAGTAAGCCAGGCTCAGCTAGATACAGATTTCTCAGCCTGTATTGATGACCGCCGCTCATTAGCATAATTTTTCTTTTTTCTCTCTCTCTCTTNAGAAATTACAAACAAATAGACTTACAAACTTTTTCACTCTCTCCTTCTAGCTGCATGTTGTTGTGAGTACGTAATTTTGTACAGCGGTATTTTTATGAGTACATGAGTCAACTATGCACGAGGCTTACAAGTGCGTCTGATCCACAAAAGATGTTTTACGCTTTCGGCGTATTTTTCCGGAAAGATTCAGTTTAAATAGTATTCTCGATATCTAACCACACAATAAGCTATATATCAAATATTACAATGTAATAGTAGGGTAGCGATCGAATGAATACATTATTTGAAATGTAGATGAACATGGATAAATCGATTAAAACATACGTAAGATGATTTTCGAAACGAATTAGTCGGATCGGCAAGCCTTCCTCATGCTTCCTTTGTGACGGAACAATGCAACGAATCAAATTATAATTACTTTACATATAGAATTTTTAGTAAACGATTTTTGAATACAGTTTTTTTTTTCTTTTTTAAATCTTTTTATTTGTACTTCGATTCTAGACAAGCAGCGGCGAGCCACTTAAAACACAACGTGCCTTTGATTTCCGATCCAATAGGCCCAGGTTCGAGACTCAGATGAGTCCATATTTCTTTGACTTTTTTATTTGCAAAAAAA